AAACGTTGAAGTGAAGGCCTGTGTCATCGCCCATTCATCACGTTCTTCTCTCTCTCTCTCTCTCTCACACTGTTGTCCCACCATGCCTGGTAGAACCCCCCCCTGCACCCACCCCCCTGGAACCCGTGCGCGCGCGCGGGGGCGAGCACCTCAGCACCTCAGTTGTCACTTGGCCAGCCAGTTGCCGTTACAAGGTGCCTGCTTGCGCCTCTGATGCCGGCGCTGGAGCTGGTAGTTCGAGAAGAGAGAAAAAGCAATGACAATAAAAAAAAAAAACACTGGATAGCCAAGGCTACGAGGACCACCACCCAGGCATCCACACACCATGGGCCCGGACCAGGCCACGGACCAGACCACATTGGAAAGGCACGAAGGCACGCACGCACACACGCAGTCGCACCCAATCCACACACCCCTCGCCCGCCATTCTGCATCTCCATCCCCATCCTTCTTCATACGGGAGAAACTCTGCATACGTACCTTACGCTATAGGCTTCCTTTCCACTTTGGCCTTGCCAGAGGTACCTTCTGGGCCCCGACAGGGGGTGTGTGCAAAAAGAAACACGGGTGGACAGACAGAGGTCAGGACTGGCAAAACGGCGACGCCCAAGCCGACGGCACCTTGCCTTACCTTACCATGCTGCAACATCTTACTTCCTCTTCCTCTTCTCTTCCCTTCCGTCATTTTTTTTTTACCTCTTTTTCACATTTCTGCCCTCTTCTCTCTTCCTCTTCCATACCTCTGATGCAGCATGCCGTGCCTTGGGTGCCAGCGTGAATAACCCTTCCCGCGCAAACACGTACCTTTGGCCATCGTCCCTTGGGCTCCAATCTTCTACATCCACCTCACTCTGCTTCCTGCCCCTCGCCTCGACGACAGCTCGTCCGTATATGCCACAGGATTGTTTCCTCCAGCCCAATGACAACTGTCCCTCTTCCTTTCACTGCTCGCCTTGATCAAGTATAAGAGAGACAGAAGCCGACCACAATCTCGCTTCCCAATTCTTGAGACTCGACATCTTTCGTCTTAGTCTCGTCACCAGATCCACCATCCTGTCCTGTCGACTCTGTACCATTCCCCACCAGCATCGCTTGCTCAGATTGAGACGTACTTGAGGGAACACCCCTACGGTCCATTCAACACACACGTCATGTCGACTTCGTCATATAACAGCCCATGCGGCCCCTGGCAGGATCGCTTGGAAGGTACGCCCGTCCCCGTTGTCGACCCATCACTTTGCCTTTTCCAAGTCAAGCGCTGATCAAGAACTGGTAGATGCTTGTCGCGAGGCAAATATCATGCCGCCTGTCTTCCAAATCGTGTCTGATCGCCGTGGTAAGGACCAACTGCACACCTGAATAGCTTGAGGATGCCCGTTGCTAATGACCCATGCCGCAACCAGGAGGGCGTACTGCCTGGTCCAGCAGAGTGACAGTTCACGGGCGAACCCATTCGGCAAGATTCTGGTACGACGGCAAGAACCTGAACAACGCAAAGGAAGATGCTGCTGAACTGGCCCTCAACTACCTGACGACCTCGAATCCCAGCTCGCCATCCACCAGCCGCGGGAGTTGGTAGGAGACGGAAAGCTCGCAGATGCCATGACGAAATCCATACGACCAGCGTCGAGGCCAGTCTGGCGCCATTTCTTTTGGTGTCGCAAACATTTCTCGATATTTCCCTGACGACGCGACACTGTATGATACTTCTGGAGTTGGGGAATTTGGGGTTATACTAGCCGTCGCCACACGGCATACAAAAAAAAGGGAACACACGGAAACGGCGCACCACCAAACACGATGCTCTTTTTTTGTTCTTGGTTCTCGGACGGCAAGTTTGTGTGGAGGATATTTACCACAGGCAGTCAAGAATGCAGCGCGTTGGCAGACGCAAGGCATCCATGATTTTGTCTCTGCACTGGTGCCGATGGGAGGATCTCATGCCAGTTTTGGCCTCGGCCTTCCGTCTCTTCCTGCACATTGGTGGTTTCGCCACGAACACCCGTTGCAGAGGACTCGCACACACGATACACGGAGCCAGGCCATGCCTTCCACCATGCCTGCCAAGCGTGCAACAGAAGGGAGGGCAGTTTTGTTTTACTAGGGGCAACCCAGTCTGCTCTCGGGTTTTTCTTATTTCTTTTCTTTGTCTCTTCCAGCTCGGGCGAATCATGAGGGGGAAGACAGGCAGAGGGAATTTGGCGGTGTTTTTGACAAAGGTCCACCAGCCATATCACATGGGGTAAAGAAATGTCCGGGAAGAAACAGGAAAGCTAGGAATAAGAACGGACGGGTTTCCCTTCGCAACTTACTGGCCTCACTAGCTCAGCATCAGATAGTCAGTGAAAGCCCCCTCCCCTTCCCAGGCACGGGGGCGCATGTTTTCTTTTGCTGCTGCGGCTCCCCATCTCGAATTCGATTTGGGGGGACGTACCTTGTTGCCTTGCCGCAATCGTGATCATGGGGCGTGTTGTCTCAACTGATGCAGGATCGGAAGTATATCTGTGATCCCAGATGCCGGTTGGGCCACCTGACAGAAGACGTCGTGGGCTGCTGAAGTGAGAGGCTTGAGAGAATTAGGAACCCGCCAAAGGTGTAACGTTCCGGGCTCCGTCCCACTCCTCCCTTCCTCCCTTCTCGGCAGGACCAGGATCCTTTGACCCATCGAATGCACAGGATGCCCGATGTTTTGTTTCCCGTCGTGGTTCCAAGGTTGTGGCGAAAGAGAACAACGGCCCCCTCGGTCACTCGACGTGGTTTAAACCGCCCGCTTGGAAGGGGAATGCGCCCGCCCCATGCGGGGGTCTTTTTTTTTTTTTCTTTTTTTGCTCTCTCTCTTGTTGACCGGTCTCCAAGACGGAAGGTCGTTTGGGATGGTTCAATGGGCACCGGTCAGCATGACACCCCATGATATGCCCACACTCCGAATGGCATGTCGAAGGAAGGGGGGGGAAGGGCCTCCAAGAGGGGAAAAGGGAAAAGCTGTGGTCAGGTGGACTCTTTCGGAAGAGCCGCTGGATGCCACCCGCGGGATGGGCTTGCTCGGCAGCTGTTTTTATCGAAGCAAACCCCCGCCTCGCCTTTCTGCCCTACCCCCCCTCACCCCCCCCCCGGACATTGCATAAGGTACCTCCGGTGCCATCTGTTGCGGCGTGCTGGTTGACCAGAAGGGGGAGGGGGGGGGGGGGGGGGGGGGGGGTTTCGTTGCTAAATAACGGGGGGCGGGGATGGAGTCCTCGGGGGCGCGTGGGAGGTTAGTATTTTTTTTTTGTTACTTTATCGTAACCATTTAATAAGCTTTGTTCCCAATGTCCCC